AAAATATTTTGAGTCACCGTCAGTTTTCTCTTTACACAAGATACTAGATGCAGTCTTTCATTTGGACAAGCGTTCTGTGGTTTGATGTTATACTTTTTGATCCACTATGGGTTTGTGACTGTTTTTGTTTGGGGTTTATGGTTTGTTTGTTTGTTTGTCGTTTGTTTCTTCACTTTCGTCGTTTGCTGATTTCAGAATAGGTCACACTGGTACTCTGACCCTGTGGCATTCACAGCTTCAGTTTCTCAGCTGCCCACATGGGATACTTTTGCATCTCTGGTGCAGAAATAATTGTGCAGGTGAATGACCAGAGTCTGCTCTTGACCCCTAGGAACTGGTGATGCTGCTTATATTAAGACATGAGGGTGGACGGCAGATGGGCAAACGTAATGATCTGTCTACACCATTAGAATGTCCGGGTCTGTACAAATCGTATTGTTGCCTTTCCCCAAAATGTTGCTGTACTGTGTGTTCTCTTTGAGGGCTTTTATATGCAAATGATGAGGGCTGCCGTTTTCATTAGAATGCACTCAACTCTGATTGTACGTCCTGGTGAAAACCCACTTTTGGATAATTAGCACTGTCAAGACTTCCTTTTCTGTTAACAAGATCCTGCTGACTCTGTCAAGTTCCCCTGGCAGGAGAACCCTGCACCCGAAAAAGACAGGCAGCAATTTTTGGTTCCAATTTTTAAACATTACATAGACAACCTGTTAATCGATGGGGTTTTTTGGGGTTGGTTCTTTTTTTTTCTTTTGTAAATAACACTTTGTTATGAAGACCTTACAAACCTCTTCTAAAGACATTCTTACTCCAGATCTAGGCAAAAACACTTCACGGTTTGTAAATGACTGTTTCCTGACATAATTTTTTTTTATTAAAATGCAAAATGTTCTTCAGAATAAAACTGTGTATAATTTTCTTATACTTAGGAGCTCTCTCTGGCCCAAACTTCTAAAGGGCTCTCTGAGGGCACATTTGTAAGGATGTAGGTATTTTCTTAGGGCTGTTGAATGCCAGTAACTTAATACCAGCTGTAGAGATCACTGGTTCTAAAGGGCTAAACCACTGTCAACTCAAGCATCATCTTGGATTCTGTGTTGCCTGCTGGGGGTTGGTCTTCCTGTTGGTTCAACACCCTCAGGCTAAGATTACTTAGCCAGGCCGTTTCCTGGTATTGGTGATCACCCATTCCAAAGTGGTTTCTTTAAAGCCAGCGTCTTTATAGACAGCACCGCTCCTATCCTGTTTCAGCCTGCTTCAACCTCTCACCTGAAATTAAATTTTTTTCTTTGTAAGAAAAATTTGAAGTTGTAGAGGATGTTCTTCTTTTCTCTTGTTTTAGGGAAGTTTCAGGATTATTTCCTTTTCCATTTCCATGCTTCAGCACTCAGCCCAAACCATTCTGACGTGTCCGTAGTCATTACTCACACACACATACACATTCAAAAAACACTGCTGCTATGGAGTCCATCCCAATTCACTGAGACTGTCCACTGGGTTACTGAGGCTGTCAACTTTTACTGGGAGGAAACTGCCTATCTTCCTCCCAAGCAGCGGAGGGATTCAAACCAACTACCATTCCATTAGCTGCCCATCCTGTAACATGAAACCCCAGGGCTCCTTGTCCAGTCACAGTAGTTACTGAATCTGTCTGCTTTCCATAATGTCACAAGATGGAAACGCAACCACAATTTAACTGCCTTATTAAGATTGAGCCTCACCACTGCTCAGACTCCTGGGCCTGGCTGGGCCGAGTGGTGGTTTCCCACTTTTATCCCAAGCTGTTTCAGAGCTGGCCACAGCCCAGGAGGGAGAGCCACGAAGGAACCAGAAGCCTTTGAGCAGCGGTGGAGGCCGTCCTGGTCGGGGTACCTGCAAATGCACGGTCCTGGGCTTTTGGCAATGGAAAGCAGAGCAGCCTCCGCGTAAGTTTACTTGGTGGTTTATTTTCTAAGTCATAGTAGCATCTTTGCCAACTTCCTGTCTTTGCTGTAAAGTTTTCTAATGTTAGTATGGGCACTTTGATGTGTTTCAAATACCTGTTGGCAGTGGCACTGATGTTGGTACTCTCACAGACCATCATGTCAGAACTAGCTCAGAACCAACCCTCCATTGGGTTTCTGAGGCTGTAAATCCTTGAGAAACTTGCCCAACTTTTCTCCCGCAGGGCTGCTGGTGGATCCAAGCCCAGAGAGGTGCCACCGTTAGGTCAACACCACAGAAACTGAACAGACAGCCAGGCTCTAACTTCAAATATCAGAAGAATGCAAGTAATCTGAGGATATCCTGTGGGTAGGTTTGCCCAATTTATATGTTTATGTGTGTGTGTGTGTGTGTATATATTCCAATTGTGTTTGTATCTATACATATATATTGTCCAATTATATATATTTGTCCATGTGTGTGTGTTTGATCTAGTTGGATCTAATGGCAAGTTGGTTTATTAGTGGAAACATGAATAGCTTTGGGATGAGGAGTGTGGTTTGGCTGAAGAATCCATTGGAATGTGTGGAAACACTACTCCAGCTTATACTGGAAGCCAGAGGCAGTATGTGAAAGGCACCTGAACTTCCACTGATAGAAACTTGTGTAGTCGGGTCACCATGGCTGGTGTGCTGTGGGCTCGGACTCTCCACAGGCTGCTCTCGGACCACCACCCCCCCAGATTGTATCTCTATCAGAAGAAATGTTCTGCAGACACATCTTAAATGTGGGCTCCTTCAGAAGGATCAGGTGTACTCCCAAAATGCCCTAACGACAGGCACTAGGTTTCTGCAAATGTCTTGCAGTCGTTCTGTAAAATGTGACTGTCCCACTTTGAGGCATTGCAGGCCTTTGTTGCTCATTAGCCACCTAAGGTAAAGCAGGCTGGCTTTGAGGGTCTGAGGGCTGGGAGGGCCCCTTTCTCCTTGTGAGCTGTTGGCATTGCACTTTCTGCTTCTGTCCCAGTCAGCATCTGTCTCTCCCACTCAGCAGAGTCTGAGGTTGAGGGTTCGCCTCATAGTGTGGGACTTTCAGCAGCTGTTGTCACAGGAATTACTGCTCTGTGGTACTCAGCACCCACGTGTTACACAGGGTCCCCTGACTGAGACTGTGCTAACCTGCATGGACTCACGTGAAGCACCGTTGCGAGTCTGAGCTCTGTTCTGTGCCTGAAGCCAAGAGGCTACTTTGATGTCTATGGGTTGTAGATACAAGAGTTGGAGTTTACCCCACTCCGCGTGTTTGGCTAAATCATGATATCATATTGCTGGAACTCAAGGAAGGGGGCCTGGGTATAAGCAAGTAATGCATCACTGGACTGACTTACGTCATCAAGTTTATTTTGCTTAAGACACAGCCATTGATTCTAATCAGTCATTGTCTTAGAGACTGCAGCCAGTGTTGCCCGTCACAGCTGTACCTGAGAAGGGGGAGCAGGGGATGAGCACAGTGATGTCAGGGAGGTGCACCCTCTTTATAGACACCTAACTCTTCACTTCTGACCAGAACCACAGGTTCCCCAACAAGAGGGGGGCTCTGGCCCTCAGCAGTGCAGCATTTTAACTCCTCAGTTGTTTTGTCACCCCCACAGGCAGCCAGAGCCCAAGAGGACGGATGTCAGGGAGAAAGCAATCTCTTGGCAGATTTACAATTTTCTTTAATCTCTTAGTAAAATTATAATCTTCATTCTCTAGGTAAAAATGGAAAAGGTTAAAATGTTAAAAGGGAGGTAGTGTTTGACAGTTTCTTTTCTCCACTCTGCTAAAAAGAGGTTTCTCAGAAACCTAGGTTGTGGCGCCAGTGTTCGCAGGCCACCTGTCTCTGCTCCAATCCCCTCAAAGCCTGGGGTCCCCCGTTTTCCTGAGGCCAGAAGCTGCGACCCCACAGCTCCTTCCTTCCATCTATAGCCAGTGGACACAGATATCAGTGTCTTTAGGAAAATCAATCCAACGTGCACTTCACTGTCCTGGCCTTGCCTCAGAACAGTCTGCACTGGGCATCTTCACTGGACAATCAGTAACCAGGTTAGTGAATTTCCAGGCATTTAAATATCACGGAGCTGTTTTAAATGTTACTTGTTCTTTCTTCAAGGACCCAACTGTTTGCCAATTTGTCTGTCTTTCATTCAGCTGTATTTTCAAAGACCAGGGGGTATGATTTCATCCAAGTGCTCTCTGCAGCTGTTTCACTGCCACCCAGTCTGTCCCCATGGACATTCAAACAGAAAGAATGGCCCAGCCCTGCTGCCAATGTGCCACATCCCATGGCCCACAGGAAAAGTCCTCTCTAGCTCACAGATGTGTATGGAGGTGTGGGGTCAACTATGGGTTTCTGGTAACAGGGACATCTTTTTAAGACCCCAGATCTTAAAACTTAGGGTAGCAAGATTGAAATCACATTCCTGCTAAACTCTTCTCTCCTTGAGGCAGGTCCAGAAGTGTCTCATTGGGGCTGTATTGTATGAGAGGCAGTGTCACCCTCTGAGGGACTCGAAGGAGCACCAGTTCCCGCCTCACTCAGAGAAGCCAGTCAGGAAGTGGAGTGTAGAGGAAGGCCTGGTTTTGCCCCAACAGGCAAGTTTTCCTTCTGGAAAGCGCCCCTAGGGACTGACATGCAAACACAGGCTACAGCTGGGACTCGCCAGCTCCCCTCTGTACGATGACAGCTTGCAGCCTGAGGTTGACGATGCCTGTCAGCGAGCATCCAGCACATAGCTCTTGTAGGACTCACCTTCAGGGAGCCCTGGGGGAGAGGTCAGCAGCACCTTGGACTTGAGTATGAATGAGGTCATTGCCAGAGTTAACCCACTCTAGCCGGTCCTCATGGGGGTAAGGAGGCAGTGTGTGAGACATTTGACTCGCTGGCCAGCGCTGGTCTCATTTCCCAAGAAATGATCCAGTTCTCGCCCCTGAGTGGGACACCACTGGGCTTCTAATGTTCTAGATAGTTTGGGATGAGCATTTGGAGGAAGTACTGTACTGGCCACTTGGCATGTCCTCTGGGGAGGGAGTGCCTTAACGCTGGGTGGCCAGGGTCTTGGGCTTGTAGACAGGGACATCCTCGTCACAGAGCGCAGGCTGCCCCTTAATCATGTCTGCCGCTTTCTCTGCTATCATGATGGTAGGGGCATTCAGGTTGCCACTGACCACACTGGGCATGATCGAGGCATCGACTACCCGCAGGTTTTCCACCCCGAGGACCCTGGTCTGTGGATCCACCACAGCCATGGGGTCGGAGGGCTGGCCCATCTTGCAGGTGCATGAGGGGTGGTAAGCGCTGTCCGCTTTTGCCCGCACGAAGGCGTCGATCTCTTTATCTGACTGTATGTGGCTGCCTGGCTGGAGTTCCTTCCCCCGGAACGGATCCAGGGCTTTCTGTGCAAAAATTTCTCTGGACAGCTTCACACACAGACGGAAGTCCAGGATGTCGGTTTCTGTCAAGGAGAAGGCACAGGTGTGATGACCACTCCCGCCCTTGTAGTTTGCTGGGAGACTCACTGGGCAGCTCAGAAAGCTGCCTGAGGAGACCTGCTTAAAGGACAGGGAGGACCAAGCTGCCACCTCATGGGTAGTTAACTTGCCATTAAGAGATGGACACAAGCCTGCCCCAGGTTTCCATCAGGGCCTGATGTTTTTCACCTTTAAATACAGGGAAGTGGACATGCCCTGCTCCTGTCACAGCCCAACTGCATACGGGTCAGCTGCCACATCTGTGCCATGCACAGCTCTCATGCTTGTTGCACACAGAGAGGCAAGTCAGGAATGCAATTCCCTCTCGTCAGCTGCTGCTCTGCGCATCCTTAAAAAAGTAGCGTGAGCTGCACGCACAGAGCTGCACACAAGGGCTGAGCCTCCCCCGGCCTTCTGGAGGTGGTTCTGAATCTGCCTCTCTCTCACATGTGCAGTGAGGCCTTGAGGTGATGTTACGTGCACAGGACAGTATATGGCAGCAGATGCAAATTTACAGGCTCACCACCTGGGCTGATTTGCATCTCAGAAAAATGTAGTCTAGGAGTAAGACTTGGGGACGCGTGTGAATCCCACTGAGGGACTCACTTGGGGAGTGGCCCAGAGAGGGGGGACTGAGGAGGCTGGTACGTTACCTGTGGACAGGTAGTTGGGCTGGATCACAGGGTGGTGCTGAGGGTTTGCACTTCTCAGTTTGAGCCAGCCCACGCTCGTGCCCCGCATGGTCCCCACGTGCACCTGTAGAAATCAAAGACATGCACGTGGCCCCACCAACCGAAGTGCTCAGAGAGAGGCCTGGGTTCCCCACAGGGCAGGACTCTGCATCCTGAGTCAGTTAAGAGCACTTGTATTTGAGCATCTCACCCACCTTCTCAGGGTGGAGATCGCACCTCCGTGACCATCTGGACAGAAGGAATTACTACTTCCTTCTCCCTTGACTCCTGATCATTTAAAATCTTCGGGACTACTGGGAATATACCCTGAAGAGACCACAGCTGACATCCAAGCAGATATATGCACACCCATGTTT